CGGCCCCGCCTCGGCGTCCCCGGCCCTGATTGACACCGGAGTTGGTACATACGGGTCTGCCGCGGAGCGAGCAGGGGGTGAGCGCTATTTTAAACATGGCTTTCCCTCTGCCGGAGCCGCCGGAGCCCTCGCGGCGCACCCGCCGCGGACACGGCCCCTTTGGGAAGAGCCCCAACATCTGCCCGACTTATCTTTTTCCATCTCCTCGTGCGCGTTCTCGTTCCCCCCTCCCGCCGCTTTTCCTCCACACGAACTACAACCGGGCAGTTTGCAGAGGAGACTCCCCTCTTGGAAAGGGGAAGGTAAACCGCTTTTGCTTCTTGCAGGAGAATGGAAACCATTCCGCAGAGAATGAGTTCAAAAAGGGGGGAAACCGCGTCGCCGGACAGAAAGTAACATTCCGAGACCGATGGGGACGGGCGGAGGGAGAGCCATGTCCACAACCAGCATCTGAAAACACGCGTAGGGAGCGAAGAGATTCGCAATCGCCGACTTAGTACCGGGCGCATTCCGTGCAAGCCATGGCAATGACAAGGTTTGCTGGAAGCACAATTTGAAGGCCTTTGAAATCTTTTTTTTTTTGTAAGACTTACCTTTCTCTTCGGCATAATGACTATGTTCGTGCCGCTAAAAAGTAAAGCCACGGGCTGGAACTGCTGGTACCGCCGCTGGATGTTGCCGCCGCCGCTGCTGCTGCTCACGCGCGGGGCACGGCCTCTCCGACCTGCACCTCCACTGCTCCCTCAGGGGGCCCTCTACTCGCTGGCCTCCCCGCTCCTCCAATGAGAAGCGCCGGCAGCTGGCCGCGAGGCCCCATTGGCTGCGACAACGTTCTAAATTCCACGAGGGCACGCCCACCTCTGCGCGCTCAGTAGGCGCTGTTGTAGTTTCCAATTCACGGAAAAAATCTGCCTGGCGACTGAGCATGCCCAGTTCTACTAGTAAACCCCAAGCCGCAGGATCCTGGAGTTTCATTGTTTTGCTGCTCCCTCTTTGGATTGTGCCAGTGTGGGCGGACCTTCCTAGGGAGGAAAAATATTAAGGATGGACACATTAACTTTTTAATGTAAGTATATACACAGCAGACACATTATACGTTTACGACTCATAAAGGCTTGTAAGGAATGTTATATGATGGAGACCTTTAAGTGTGGGAAGGTGCTCTGTTCTGGAAGTCTGGCAATCTCGAAGGGTCTTGGTTTTCGCCTCTAGATATCTAGGGACATTAACCTCTAAAATTGTTTAGCTCTTATTTCCTGAAATCTGTGATTACAAGAACTTATATGCATAGCCCATGGGCACAGACAGTAGTGTGGTGAAGGCCTGGGGAGGGGCGGGGGCTGGGTGGAAGGGGACATGGTGGGAGAAAATGGGGGACATCTGAAATACTGTCAACAATTAAAAAAAAATCTGTGATGATAAATCACTCACTAATCCAGGCTATTTCAAACGAGGCTTGAAAATGAATAGGATATATTGGTCATGGAAATTTAAAGAAGAATGAACAAGGACATAACAGATTCTCTTATATTTGAAGCATATATTTTCATATACATGGTTTAAATATGCATAGTTTGATGTTTGATCTCAAAGATCTGCTAGGCATTAAATGGGCATTACAAAAACACTTCCAAATTTATTTTATGAGATCAGTTTTACCCTGATACCAAAAGCCACTGCATGGCCATTTCTCTCTTAAAAAGAAAAGAGCGCTAAGACCAATATCCTTTATAAACACAGACATAAAAATCTTGAACAAAAACTTTAGTATATCAAACCCAACAACATTTAAAAGGATACTACATCATGACCAGGGAGGTTTATCCTGGGAATGCAAAGTTGGTTTAACATCTGAAAATAGGATAAAGGAAAAAGCCAGCATGATCCTTTCAACAGCTATAGGAAAAGCACTACTGAATGGGTAAACAAAGTGTGGTAAACACATACAATGAAATACTACTTAGCACTAAAGAGGAACAAAATTTCCTACATGGATAAATGTCAAAACAAAATGTTGTCTGGAAGAAGTCAAATACAGAAGACTATACTAATAATTTCATTCATGTGAAATTATAGGAAAAGCAAAATTAGGCAAGGTTAGTTTCAAAATTATATTAGAAGACAAAAGTTTCCATCACAGGAAAGTATATTGAAGCCTTATACTGTCAATATGACCAAATCCACTTTGGTCACACAGAGGCTGTAAATATGTATAAAACAACATCATAAAGTAGTTTTAATGCTTGATATTTTTTTCTTTTTTAATTTCAGAATAATTGGTATCCTAGCAAACTCCAGAAGTGGTCAATGACTTTCTTTTCTTATACTATCTCAAGGAACCTGTGGATTTTTATATATTTGATCTATTTCAACCTATTCCCATTATTGCTATCTTTTATGCTCATATTGCCCCAATATGAGAACCTTTTCAAACTAGTGCTTATAGATTCTTTGCTTTCAGTGGATGGCAATGTACTCAAAAGAACTGGGATAAAACCAGTTCTTTGCTCTAAAACTGGATAGAAACTTCAAGGTTAATAATTTTATGTAAAAATCCTATTTATAATGAAGTTGTCTTAGAAGAGAATTAATTTGCAAAGTGCTTGATGGTTTTAAAAAAGCCATTGAATACATGTTTTCATAAGATATGTATGGGAAGGAAACTGGTAGCAAGTGAAATCTGGGTTGAATTGTTGTTTTTCTTTAGTTATTTTTATTGATTTTTAGAGAGAGAGAAAGGGAGAGGGAGAGAGAGAAACATCAATGTGAGAAGGGAACATCTATCAGCCACCCTCTACCCGGGATGAGCCACCAACCCAACATATGCCCTAACTGGGAATAGAACCAGCAACCTTTTGGTGCACAGGACGACACCCAACCAATCAGTCAGGGATTTTTCTTTTACTTTATGGAGATAAAAAGGTGTCACAACAAAGATGGGGCTAGGGTGAGTTATTTCCTCCTGTGATGAAAAATTACTCATGAAATTGGCTTCTTTTATTTTTCAAGACTAAACACAATCAAGAGCAGAGAAAAGTGTGAATGCTTTTACTACACATAGTAAAGTGGCTGCAGTGAAAATGAAGCTTGCTACCTGGATAAAGAAAGTTGATTGTTGGGAACGTGGGCCATTTGAGTCTCTTAGTTCATTTACACATGATGGAAATAAGAACTTCAGCTGAAAATAAATAAGAACATCGATTCTCTTTCCTTTGAAGTGGATTGCACCTGCCCTGAGCTGGACACTAAGGAATGGAGGGTTCTCCCTGTACCTTCAGTAGCCTTCAAGGTCTAGGAAAAGAAGTGTGGACCTCTCTGGCAGCCCTGAAGGGAAGAGGAATAGGCAAAGAGAATGGTTCGGTGGGTAACTAGAATTACAGGTTAGGCAATAAAAGAAAAATGAGACTGCCACATGCAAGACAGCGAGGAGGCCAACCTGGTAGGAAGTAAAGACTCCTTTTCTTATCAGTATATTCCCCTGAGCATTTTTCCTGCTTTGATATATCAACTCTAAGACTGAAGTCTTCTCTACAGGATGTGGATACTATCTAAGCCAAGATAGACAGTGGATGGATGAAGGGAGTTACTGCCTGAGGAAGAAAGAAGGACAAATTCGTGAGCAAGCTTCTTTTCCAATTCCAACTCCTCTCCCTTCTTTTCTACTCCAAGAGGCTAGAATCCTACACCTACCTCAGCAGTTTTCAAACAGCAGGACAAAATCATTCATGCTGTCCTGACTATCATTAAGGAAGGTGGGGAGAGAAAGAAACAAGAGAGAGAGAGAAGAAAAGGCAGACCATAGAAAGGATCAGAATGCATTTCACATGGTAAAGGTAAGTAGTGTCTTATAAAATGTTTCCATTTGTCCATACATTCCCACATAAACATACACTACACACAATTACATATACGTACGTAGCGTGTTTGTTGTGTATCTTATAGGTTGTGACTTGAAATGTACTTTTAGGATGGGTTCATGGACAAACTTTAAAGCTACTGCATAGCCCTAATGAATCTTCTGGATCCGTGGGGCTCCATCAATATGTTCCTCAGAAGAAAGGTCCTTAATCTTCAAATCTTGAAAGGAAATTTTGAAAGGAAATGATCACTTGCAAATCACCTCCCTCTTGATTTGTCCCTCCTCTCTTTCAATGAGGCTCACTTACTAGTAGGATTTTGCTCTAAGTAATGACAAATTACTGGAGAAGTCAGATTTAGAATCTATATACTGTTGCTCTGACAGGTGTGTGATTCTGGGTTATGTTACTCTTCAGTAAACAGGCCAGAGGTGAATATGATTAGGAGTGTAACAAAACGACAGCAAAAACAACAAACAAAAGGTGGCAAAAGAATATTCCATTTTATTTTTATTTGTCAAGTCTCTGATTGGATGCTAACTTTTGAAGAATCCACATTTTGTTTTTACAAAGTCATTAGGACAGTCTAAGAGCCACCCATCCAAAGTCACAGGAGCTGCCTGATAATAATTCAGAGTCTTTATGGCTGGACCCCAACCAAGTGGATCAGTGTCTTTATGGCTGGACCTAGGAATCCGCATTTCAAACATGCGGGTATTTTTATACTAGAATTTGAGAATTCTGGACTAGGCCTTAGCTCTCAACAAATATTTGCTGAATGCTGGTTCTTCAATTCTAATGATGTATATCTGCGAAAGCCTCTTGATTTCCTAGCACACTTTCAAAGCAGGAGCATAGTTCTGTGGGTGAAACTCCCACAGACCTCACTTTGTGCTTGTGCTTTATCTCGTCTTAATTCCAGTTTTGCTTGGCACTACCTGCTTCCTTCACATTCTTCTTCCTCTTCTCAACTTGCAAGGACCCTGAAGGGTGATTAAAAACTGCACACCTCAGATCCCTAGAATAGCACCCCCTCCCATCTTCCCAGGCAGCCCTGCAGGAGGCTCCTGGAGCCCCTGACAAGATTACATTCCCTGGCCCTGCATCCTCAATAGGAACCTAACCAGCCCAAACCCCCACAAGCCACACCCTCTCAAGGCTTTATTATTTCAATGATTGTACAAGCATACCTTGTAATTGCATTAATAGCAAGGGGGATCGGGGAGTCCTGTGATCTTCCAACAGGAACCCAGTTTTTGTTTTTCCCAGCTTTCAATCACATTTCATCTGTGTGCAGATTCTTTATCTCAAGTATGTTTTACGTAGGTTTCCCACCCCCAGTCCTTTTCAGGTTCAATCCCTGTGTTATTTATGTCTCCTTGTTGCTAATGTTTAAAGTCACAAGGTGTAATTAATTTGCTTTTTGTAGCTCCCACATACCAGTAATTATTTGGGGACGAATGAGCCATGTTCTGTAGATAGAACCAGGGATTGGGCTACATTCGGTCACCCATCCCTTTCTGCCAGATTGTTAGCAAGTCCGGTGCCAAAAGCAGCTATGTTTAAGGAGGCAGAAGTGAAGGCAGGGACTTCCCTAGGTTCAAGGTGAGGATACAGTAAGGTAAGGACATCTCATCCCATTAGGGGAAAAGCCACAAGCTGAAAGGTACCGAAGACCAGTTAGGTGTTGCTGCGGAGTTCTCAGACTGAGTAATACACTCCTATAGATAGCTGCCATTGCCAGCACCCTCTCTCAAGGACCACACCCTGCCCTCTAAGCTGGGGAACTTGGCTCCCCATTTCTGATTCTTTTTTTAAAAATATATTTTTATTGATTTTTTACAGAGAGGAAGGGAGAGAGATAGAGAGTTAGAAACATCGATGAGAGACATCGATTAGCTACCTCCTGCACACCCCCC